AGCTAATTCTTTTTAAGCCCAAGCAATTCAATTACCAGCCTTTCAGGCCTTTTTTTATTGTCATTAATACTCGTTATGGTATTACGGGGAGCCCCGTAGCAGCCACATCCGTGCTCAAGCCTCCTGAATCACCTTCATCTTCTTTGCCTACTGAGCAGAGGAAGGGGGGGGAACAAAAAAAAAAAAAAAAAAAACCGGTGACTCTCTCTGAGGAAGGGAAAAAAAAAAGGAAAAAGAAAAGGAACGGTGACTCTCTCTGAATGTAGGAAATTCGTGTCAGGGGGAGTGAAAACAAATCATAGGCAGAGGGAGGACTTCAAAGACCTAATTTGCGAGAGTCCGATGACTGTTAATCTACCGTTGATTTCCGGAAGCAATCAAGAGTGTTGGAGCAATACCTGCCTGTATCCGCTGTGCTAGATATTCCCAGCCAGTAATGAATTCCTTTCTTTGTTTCAAAAAAAAAAAGAAAAAAAAAGGGACTTTCTGACATGAGTTGAGATATCAAGTACCTTCCCACGAATAGATTGGAACAAAAAATAAAAAATAAAAAAAGGAAAAGGAAAAGGAAAAGAAAATGTTAGATATGTAGACAGGGTCCAGAACTCTGACATAGCCTTTGGTCTAGATATCTAGACTTTCCGCAGTTGGGTTACTTATCTACACGGGGTCTGGGTGGGCTCTGTCTGTTTCCCAATCTGACAGACCATCCAGGAGTACGCTGATCGCAATTTAAATGGTTTGTCAGTACCCCCTACAAAGTATGAAACTCTGTGAGAGAGGTCATCATTACCATCCCTGCACCCCTGAGTGTTTTTTTTTTTTGTTTTTTTTTTTTGCAAAATTGCATCCTGCCTGGGCCAAGCCCCATGACAATACCTGGGTGCTCTGTTCTACCTCCGCAGTAGGAGGGCAGTAGAAAGAGGGAAGATGGGTTTGGAGGGAGTGCCATGGTTTCTACGGAACCCTGGAGTTCCACTACCCCGAGCTAGGGGCTAAGTCTAGGCTGAGTCTTTAGACTAATCTTTGAGTATTTACTATTTATCAGAGGAACCATCCTGAAGCCCCGTAAGCCAAACTGGGTAATGCTCCCAGAAGTTACTTTTCCCGGGTAGACTGTGAGGACCCCGGCCGCATTTATTCATTCTGGAATTGAAAAGCGAGGTTCATTTGAAAAAAAAAAACAAAAAGCTTGCTACTGTAACAGTTTGAGTGCCTGAGCACTCTGATAGTAGCTGTATTGTATCAGCATTTGCTTTCAGCAACTATTCGACATCTGTCTCTTATACACATCTAGATGTGTATAAGAGACAGGTATTAGCAGGGTGTATGACGAACACGGGTGTGAGTGTGGGTGCGACGTGAGTGTGGGTGCGAGTGCGTTGTGTGTGGTGTGTGGGAGAGTGTTGGCCATAGTCTCAGAGTCTGCTGGTACTCGATGAGGGGTGGGGGACGATGAAAAGGGAGGTGCAGCTACTGGCAAAATGCTTGGTCTTTAGGTTAGCCGGACTCGCACCTGAGGCCCCGCCCCATCTCTGGCTACCACTGCTGAGGGGGAGGCAACATGATTTACCTCTTTTGCGAGGCCCTATGCTTGCAGGGGTCCCATCTATAATATAGTCTTAGGAGTAGTGGTAGGAAGGTAGTGAAAGGTGAAAAGAATTTGAAAGCAGAACATAGGGCAGTTTAAAAATTAATAAAAAAATAAAAAATCGGGATCAGAAGAACGGGGAAAAAATAAAAATGAAAATTGTGCTGAGAGCAGCAGGGGCCTTGTCCCACCTACACTGTTGAATGAAGAAAACTCAAGGGTGCCAGACATTTGATGGATTTTTTTTTTCTTTTTCTTTTTTCCAAAACGTCCATGGTGTTGTAGAGGCCAGTCACTGAGTACGCAGTGATCACCTGGAGCAGTAGGCTGTGGGTGTCCTGGAATATGAGACCATCTCCCAACCCATCCTCACGTCAATACTCGTAGCGCACCCCCTATCCCACTATCCTACCTCAGTGTGACCAGCACTCAGGACGATTACCCTACCAATGGGCAGGTAACTTGGACCGAACAGCAGTSATAGGCACCAGGGCTGATAGGTTGCCCAGCCCTGGTGGAAGCAGAATCGGACGAGCCTTGTCGAATGGAAACTTCAGAGGCCAGGCCCAAACAACCTACTACAGGCCCCAAGAGACTCAGGGCCGTAGATTTCAGACAGGGTAGTACCCAATAAACCAGTCTTACCATCCTTCCCCTAGCTTACCAAAGGCCAGGCGGAACTCGGACTGGCCTGAGAGGCTTATACCCCTACCCTTACCCCAAGGTCTAAGCCTTATATATAGTCACTAGATAGTTGTATTCGAATATCAGTAGGAACTCCGGTTGTGACGCCCAAACCTCACGCCCGACGCGACTTTCTGATCAGAGTGTGAGTGGGCCTGGAAGTGCGAAAAAGGGGTGTGCCAAGGATTTTAGGAAAGTGGGGGTGGAGTCCCAGATCGGAACTGAGATCTCCTGTGGCAAGCTCTAGGATACGAATGCAAGAGGTTAGGCATGGTCTTTGCTCCGGGGAACAGAGCTACCGCCTTCGTTGGTTCCGTCATCCAGGTCGGGGTCGTATCTGGAGCACTATCGGGACGCTATGGGTGTCCCACTGATTCCTCACCTGCCGACGTCGAATTTCGCAAGTCTCCGAATCCGACGTGGCTGGCCTCAATCTAAGACTGTGCGCCCGTCGTTCTTCCTCCGAACGAGTTCGTTGGATGAAGTCGGAGACTCGGTACTCGTGGTCCTGCAGACACTCTGAGCACGGGGGTTGGGGCCAGTAAGGAGCGATTGCGAGCCAGGGGACGATAGTTAGGGAGGTGGTAGGGCAAGATGCGGTGATAGGGAGGGAATTTGGTCCCTAAGATAATGATTCCGGGCCCCGTGAGGACGTGACACGTATATGGGCTAGAGTAGCTGGGAGATGGGGGTTACGCCCCAAGGCCTGGTCGAGGTCCCACTCGCAAATACATTCGTTCCCCGTCAAGTAGGGAAATTCTAGAGGTTCCGCCCAGGGTCGTGCAGGCAAACAAGAGTGCTCCCAATATTCTCGGAATTCCCGATCCCTCAAACACTCGTGGTCAGTCACACGAAAGGGAACGTCAAAATTCATGTTGCAAGTCGGGGTGGAACACTAGCCATTCGGGAAATTAGTCGAGTTCAGGTTTCGCAAACGTTTGTGTAAGCAACGATCGTCTTTGGTCGAGCCTACACGTGCGTGTGCGGACTTGTCCTTCGATCAGATGGGTGAAAGTCGGCGATTCGCGAGATGGATCATCCTATAGTGAGACAGTCGTCTAATAGTCTAGCATGCCTATCCAATTCATACACAGACAGAATCACGCCTATCATCCATGCATCTACTTACATACAAACAGAAAGAATCGAGGATCATGCAAAAATTCTTTGGCCAATCCTAGAAATGTTAGAGGCAGTAGCCTCAGTCTGAGAGCAATAAAGCAACAACAAAACAACCATATGTCATAGGAGGAGTGTGTCACAACCAAAGGGTGGGATGGTCTCTTAGGGTGGCGAATGTAGCCTAGGGGTCGATAAACTCCAAAGGGCATCCACACATAATGACAAGAAGACACATGTCATAAGGCTCAATGAGGGTAGGGAACTGGGAGCGAACAAAACCAATGGCCCTAACAGATAGACCATCAGGGCGGGTAATGCTCGACTAAAGGGGTGACCACTATGGAGGGTCGACCATGCAAGGGAATAAGGGAGCCTGGTATACCTGCGCATCTAGATGAAGCATGCAAGGCTGCCTAACAAGGGCGGGAGGGCTGACCGAGGGTAGAAAAAGTGATGGGTAAGGGGATCATGCAAATGACTCCTAAAGTGAGGGAAGTCGGAGCTAGATCCGTAAGCTGGGAAGCCAGAGCAACGCTACGGTCTCGATGCCTATGCGTATACCAAGGGAGAGCCCAACTTAGAGGAAAGGGAGACCATCAACCATCATGCGACACAACTAGGGTACTGTACAGGGTAAGGTGGTAAGAGAGTGACGACGTCTGAAGTAGGCATAACTGGACATGACGAAGGTCATGAAGTTGTCGATGACGTCCATGATGAGAAGTTTGGAATATCGTGGAGGAAGAGCCGCAACGTCGACGAGCTGAAGTGGCAAAATTGAAGTGGATGGAGTACTGAGAAGTCAAAGATGTGGGAAGATAAGTCAGGGTCAATCGTTGTAACGAGCAGGACGACGACGAGTACGTTGTGGACGCTCAGAAGTATCTGGTTGCTGCTGAAGGTCGGCCTCAGATGGAGCAGGCTCGACTTCCGCGGTCTCCTCAACCGAGGGAGAAGGAAGAGGGTCAGTGGGCTGAGGAGGAGCAGTCAACCCAACACGACGAGCACACTCATAGGCACGCACCAACATGCGAGCGTGCTACAAGTGTTCGAGGGGTTCCCAAGTAGCCTCGTCATTAGGGTAACCCTTCCAACGTACGAGATACTCAACGTGGGGAGAGTTGTCGTTGGTGACTCGACGACCAATGATGTCTGAAACAAGGAACTCCTCGTGGCCGTCCACCATGATGGATGGAGGGCGCTCGTATGGTCGTCCAGCGAAACGCTCAAACGGTCTGCGGTAGAGACGCAATAACGAGACGTGGCGTAGGTAGTCGGGCAACTTCACACGGAAGTTGATCGGGCTTGATGTCGTATCATAGCCGATGACCTGGAGAATGCGGCATGGCCCAAAGAAGCGACGCGAAAACTTGTGAACCGTGTTCGCTTCGAGCTGTAAGTGGCGGGCGTGGACAAGCACATCATCACCGACTTTGAATGGATGATCCATCCTCGATCGGTTCGCACGTGCGGCCATGCGAGTCTGGGAAGCAGCTATGTGCTCATGCGCGGTCTTCATGATCGACGTCTTGTATGCAACCCAATCATCAAGCGCGGGACAACTCGTGTCGAGGTGCATCTGTGACGGTCGAAGTAAGTCCGCGGGAACACGAGGGTGATAGTCGAGGTTGCAATAGTAAGGCGACATCCTTGTGGTTGGCAAGACGACATGGTTGTAGGCTATCTCCGCATGGGCAAGATGGAGATCCCACTGTTGGTCGTCACGAACAATATTTCGAAGAATATCTCCGAGAGTCCTGTTCGTCACCTCGGTCTGACCATCAGTTTGGGGCTGGTAAGATGAGGAGAAGCGGAGCTGGGTGCCGTACACCTCGTGAAGCCGTCGCCAGAATCAGCTGGTAAAGCGAGGGTCACGGTCAGATATGATACTCATAGGTAAGCTGTGGTCACGCACGACTCGGTCAAACACGATGTCGGCGACCTCACGTGCACTGATGGCATAGCGGCACGGAACAGAGCGTGCGCGCTTCGTGAAGCGGTCGACGACGACCAGGATAGCATCATGACCACCGCGGGTTGGAGGACGAAGAGGACCGATAAAGTCCATCGAGATGGACTGCCAACGACCCTCGGAGATAGGAAGAGGCTGGAGCAAACCATAAGGCAGGTGGTTCACGTTGTTCACGTCCTGACAGACTATGTATCACCCGCGGTCACGACTGCGGGCCATTTTACCGCCCACTGCGGCCGACTGCCTGCGACCGAGTGCGGGCATGAAACCCCGAGAATTTTTTCGGGGCAAAAAAATAGGCGAAAAAAAATATATATATATGGGCGTGTAGATTAAAAGAACTCTACACGCCTATGATTTTTCATAATTTTTGGTGACATCCACTAGAAGGGAAACAAAAATAAAAAACGAAAATGGAAATTACAAAAATAAAAAATAAAAAATAAAACCGGTGATGATTTTTTTTCCTTTATATTTTTGGTTTGTTGGGCCGGTGGCGAAACACTGGCCCACACACACACACACGCACACACAATCAATCAACCAACCAATCAATCAATCAATCAATCAATCAACGAATCGATCACAATCAATCAATCAATCAATTTGATTGATTGATTGCTTGTGTGTGAGTGTGTGTGTGTGTGTGTGTGTGCGTGTGTGTGTGTGTGTGTGTGTGTGTGTGT